ACTGGCCAAGTGAAAGAAAATCGCATATATCAAATGAAAGGTCCACTGTAATAATGATGAATGTCTTTTGTTCTGAGATAATTGGGTTTAAAGTTTATAAACGGCGAAAAAAAAACTGAAGACTTTGGAGATAAAAATTGATTTTTATTCAAGATAAAGAACATATGTTATAGTATTTGTTCTTTGGCAAATAATTATTCATAGGTAACTTTAACTAATCAAAAATTGACAAATTCAAGGTGAGCCTCAAAAATTAAGTCACAGTCAATAATGATAGTTGTCCTATTTGTTGAAGAAAATTAACTTGAAATAGTTTTGATTAACATTTGAATCTTTAATTTCAGCATGAAGAATCTTATCATAATAGTCTTTTGTTTCAAGCCGACATGTTATTATACTTTTTTAATGGAAATAAGCAGTTTGTCTCTGTAAGCTAAACCTGGTTATTTTAATTCACCCTCATTAATATTTTATTGTATATCAACAACTTATTGGAAAAAACAAAGAATCCAGTATATTGCTTTGCTGACGACAGCACACTTGTCTCATCATTCCATTTGGATTCCAGGATATCGGCTGCGGATGCACATCTTCACCGGCAGCAGGAAGTTGCATATCTTAACGAGGATCTAGAAGTAATTTCAAATTGGGGTGTAATCTGTACACACCTCAGCAACTTTTGATGCTTAATAAAACTCAGATCAGACCTTTGAAACATTGTTCTCATGTGTGGAGCTCCGCCCCTGAAGTTGCTAGATTTCATCCAAAAAAGGGCAATTCGCCTGATTGGAGACGCGAACATCACTTGCAACCTTGATAGTCTGGAACATCGAAGAAAAGGTTGGGGATTTGTCTCTCTTCTATAGATACTTTCACGGAAAGTGTTCAAGTGACTTGGCATATTTTATTCCACCAAGAGCGGCACCTTTCAGAAATACGCGACGGACTGTGGCTGCTCATTGTTTTGAGGTTCAACTCAGTGCACTTACAAATTCACTGTTAAAGAACTCTTTCATTTGGAGAACTGCGTTTATTTGAACGTTTTTCCAAACGGATTCAATCTCATAAAATTCAAATCCAATGTGAATCACTACTTCCGCACAGGCACCGCTCTTGGAGCGCCTTATGAATTTTTCTGAAGTGCTTGTGTTTTGTCCATAAAAAAGAGAAAAAATCCTCCCTTATAGAGCGAAGACTAGCTGAGGTGTTAACCACACTCAATTCCCATGGACTATTACTAAAATTTCTATGAAATATGAGTCGTGGATGTTCAGTCAATGATTTTCGAAGAAACTGAGTCTCTTTTTCTAGTGATACCATGTAAGGACCTCGTAAGTATCATCATCAATCAAATGAATCTTGTAATAGTATGATTCATTATGTAATTTGCATTCTCTTCTTCCAGTCGCGGACGACGACTTTGATGCAAATTAGATACGGTTTTGAGCCCGCTCAAATAATTATCTTGATCGTACCTGTTGGCAAAACTATAGAAATGTCTTATTATTCTTGCTCTCTGATCCTCACCTATTACTTCAAAACATTTAAAACGATCACATTTGCAGTCATCGCCAATTTCATGTGCCTGGAGTGGAAGTTTCTTTAAAACTCATTTTGCCAGTCTGTGTTCTTGAGCTCATTACTGAATTCATATATATAGGATCTTACNTTTCGAACTTAACTCTACATACTGATCTGTTTCTCTGTTCTGTTTAAAATCTGTTTTTCCGTTAATCAGCTGTCGCCCCCATACGAACGACAACTCTCAAAAGTTGAGAACTTGTGCGAGCTAAGGACTAACGAGGTCATACCTTTTTACGTGTGATTCCTAAAAATATATATTAAAAAAAAGTGGCTCAGTTAAATTTTGTTAGTTAAAATTGTATAGTTAACTGATATATTACTCTGATAAGTGGGATTGGAACCTCTCATAAAAAAAGTCTAATGAAATCACTTTTCACACATCAGATCAAAAATACTGCCTCTTGACACGCCTTTTCACTAAAACAGTTTGCCTGAAACAGAAAAAGCTCATTTTCACTGAATTAGTATTATTTTTAGAATGAAACCTAAATGAATCATACATCTGGAATGGAAATAGGGGTATTTTGTTATGTAGAGAATATGTATAAGTATACAGGAAGTCTGTTCCCCTTTGAATTTTGATATTTTTTCATCATTTCATAATTTAGGTTAGGTTAAATAAATGTTGTCATTATTTTATTACTAGTATTTTATTCACAGTCTGTGCCGAACCTTCTAGCAGTCAATACTGGTTTACACAATCCTCAGCATAAACAGTTCTGGCAAACTCAAATGGATAAAGTGGTAGCCAGAGTGACCACTGTTGATATTAACAATAGATCTTCTACACCAACATCCTCTGTGGGCTCATCTAAACCTTGTCGATATGGCGACCACTGTTCCAGACCAGGGTGTAGGTTTAGGCATAGCTTTGATAATACTCCACCGGCACCACCACTCAATAACCCTTACTGCAGCAATAATTGGTTACCGCATTGTATTGAGTTGAGTCTGAAGGCAGAAAAATTGGAAATAAGGAAAATATCAGAAGAAGAGGTGAGTTGAAACAAATATATTTTAGGTCCGTATAGGACGAAACTGCAGTAACGTTAGTTACAAATAAAAGGGGTAAAAAACATAGAAAATTTCATTTCTCTCTGTTAAAAAGAAATCTATTAGACCATTTGAAATACCAAATTATTATGTATTTTTTGTTAATTTTCAATTATCGTATTAATAAATATCAGTAGATCTTTTTTTCTATTATTGTGTTTATATGTATATTAATGTTAACATTATTATCACTGTTGTATATTAATGTTAACATTATTATCACTGTTGTATATTAGGATGTATCCTATTTGAATAAAGCATTTCATTTCATTTCTTTTCTTTGGATTCTTTGTCGTTTTGTTGTTTTCACACATAATTTCAAATAAGAAATGACTTATAAACGTTTAGCATAATCTCAAACAGCCTTACACAACGCCAGACGTATCGAAAATGACAGACAAAACAATTAGCTGGATCACCGCAAGATGGCCGTCAGTACGAAGCAATGAACATTGATCTTTATTGCCGTGTACACCTGTGATGTTGAGTGTTCTAGCCGTGTAGCCAAATATTAAAAACTGAATTATCTCGGGATTGCAAGCGAAATTGCAAAGTTTGTAAACGAGATGATTCACAGCATATATCAAGTGACCGAATGACGATAGTAGTTTGAATTTTTTGGACATTCATCATTATTGCAGTGGACCCTTCAATTAAGAATAAATTACTGATTTACATAACGGTGCTCAAGCCAATTCGGATGTATGGAATAGAGTTGGGGGTTGTGTTAGTATGATATCCAGAGAGCACATTCCAAAATACTCCGTATAATAGCTGATGCTCCTTGGTACATTTCGAACTTAACTCTACATACTGATCTGTTTCTCTGTTCTGTTTAAAATCTGTTTTTCCGTTAATCAGCTGTCGCCCCCATACGAACGACAACTCTCAAAAGTTGAGAACTTGTGCGAGCTAAGGACTAACGAGGAGTATTGACGTTTTGGAATTATTTTCAACAGCTCCTAAAACGACTATTTCTTCCAACTCCTCATCCCTATTAGATTCATATAATTTTGGCCTTTTCTTTCCAAATTGACTACCATCAATTAGGTTGTGTCACAATCTTGCGAAAATGTCTCTAAAACATTGTCTTCTCTCTGGATACCTCTCTTGAGGTATATAGCGAGGGTATAGCGAAGAACGTATACTGCGCACTAATAGAATCACATCTTCGTTATGGAATCTGCTTCTAGGGCGCTTGTGCTCAGTATTTATTTCAAAGAGTATTCTCTCTCCAAAAAAGGGCAATTAGATACCTATGTAGTTCTGCTTACCGTAACTCCTGTCGTCCTTTGTTTATGCAACATGGAGTTCTGACATTGGTTTGTATCTACATTCTGGAAATGGCTTGCCTCATGCACAAGAAATACCACTCTATAATTATTTCTGAGTCAACTTATAACACTCGCTCCTCTCACCTGATCTCGCTTCCAATTCCCTCCTCAACCTTAACTCGGAACTCTTTAATTTTTGAGTGCAAGAAAATTTTCAATCACCTTCCCCTAACCTTGCGTGTCATCAAAATCGAAGTCAAGTTCAGAAAATCTGTAAAAACGCTCATAGTTGGGAGGGCCTACTATACCCTGGAAGAATACTTTCAGGATTCTTTTTGCTGAAATCTATCTCTTTGGCGGCGGTCAAATAACGTATGCCTAATTCTTTATATATTTAGAGGTAGTCCTTGTAATTTCATGTACAAAATGTAATTTTTTTTGGCATGCTATTTTATTCATTTATTTGGCACATCGTAGTTTTGTTGTTCAATTTATTGTGCTTAGTGGTGTAAATCTTGTTGCTTATGTATATGTCCGCTTATTGTATGTGTGAATTTATGTGTATTTATGATCTCCTAGCTAACTGTATATTTGTGATGTTATCATTGTGACTTTATGCTTTGTCATGAGAATTGTTATTCTTGGACAATAAAGTATATTTTGATTCGATTTGATTGCTTGCTGCTTCTGCATTTTCCCCAGTTTGTATAAAACAGATTATCATATCCCATTTTTCATAATTCTCATACTTCATTGCGAATCTGTTTGACATTTGAACTAAAACCATTAACTGAAGAGCGTCTTTACCGCTCAAATAAAAATTTTACAGCTATCAGTAAACTTTGTATTCTGTTTTGTCTCGGCATCGTCCAAAGCCTACTTGAACAAAAAAAAACTTATTAATTGCTTGGACAATATTTGTGTTTATGTAACGATGGTATGGTTAATCAGTTAACAGACCGGTTTTGCAAGTCGCCTCGCACCTCGTTAGTGCTTGGTGGGCCATTTCAGATGAAGGGAACCGTCTGAATATCTCGAACGAAACCACTTGGGACTAGTAATCCAAAACCTGTATGTACCTGTCGGTGGTCATTCCGACTAAATGAAATTAATTTTAGCTTACCACTGCAAATTCTTTCAGATTCTCTCCCGTTGACGAACATACTGTACAGAAATTTTTAAATAAAATCAGAAGCAACGCTGTAGGTTCGGACAGCATCTCACTTCGAATGATTCGTTTGGTGGAAACACATCTCTTGGAATACATCACCTTTATACTGAATTCGTGTATCATTTACCTTTCAACGAGGGATTCCTAGCAAGGAATCGCAATTGAAGTAATATAAAGATATATAATGAATATATACAGACTCCCACCATAAGCATTTATTATATGAAATATCATCATATTTTCTGTAAATTTATACGATATACGATACAATGAAAAACTAACACGTTTAAACTATAATAGGGTCTAACTGGAAAATTCTCAGTTGTTTTTGTGCAGTCATTGCACTTTATTATGCACTTCAAATAATTTTATAAATTATGAGGGTTTACTGGCCAAATTTCGATGCTATGGCTTGTTGTATCATGACAACTTCTGCCAGTTCAATAGGAGTAAGACAAGCAAAACTTTGCATCACTGCCGCTTCCAATTTGTATTGACGTTTTGGAATTATTTTCAACAGCTCCTAAAACGACTATTTCTTCCAACTCCTCATCCCTATTAGATTCATATAATTTTGGCCTTTTCTTTCCAAATTGACTACCATCAATTAGGTTGTGTCGCAATCTTGCGAAAATGTCTCTAAAACATTGTCTTCTCTCTGGATACCTCTTTTGATACAAATTGCTTGCTGCTTCTGCATTTTCCCCAGTTTGTATAAAACAGATTATCATATCCCATTTTTCATAATTCTCATACTTCATTGCGAATGTGTTTGACATTTGAACTAAAACCACTAACTGAAGAGCGTCTTTACTGCTTAAATCAAAATTTGACAGCTACCAGTGAAGATTTGTATTCTGTTTTGTCTCGGAATCGTCCAAAGCCTACTTGAACAAAAAAAGTACTTGTTAATTGCTTGGACAATATTTGTGTTTATGTAACGTTGGTATGGTTAATCAGTTAACAGACTGGTTTCGCAAGTTGCCTCGCACCTCGTTAGTGCTTTGTGGGCCATTTCAGATGAAGGAAACCGTCTGAATATCTCGAAAGAAACCACTTGGGACTAGTACTTCAAAACCTGTATGGACCTGTCGGTGGTCATTCCGACTAAATGAAATTAATTTTAGCTTTTCATAAATAGCAAGTTTCTTCCAAACGGAAAACGTTGCACCGGTGCCTGATGATTTTATTTTAGCTTTCTGCGCGGCATTAGCTGGATTAACTGTTGTTTTTCCACAGGTATTTGCCAGACTTACCTACAAAATCGTATGTCTCACATGAGAGGCAAAGCTTTGGTATTTTCACCAGAACTTGCGCATTTCATATGCACCTTTTCAGAGTCTACAGAGGAAACGGACGTCAACTGTACGACCCTACTGTCGTTCCTGCAACAAGGGGAAATGGAGGTTGACCAAACGATCCCAACTGTCTTCCCTGTAACATCAGATGAAGAGCAGGATGAGCTTCTCAACTCTTGAACAATCCTATGAAGTTAGATTGAAGAGAAAATCCGGGGTGGTAGGTCGAGGTCGAATGAAACCTAGAGTACTAAACGTTTGGTCTGCTATTGCGTGAGACATCATTAGTGTTATGTGCGTTGACTGTGATGACGAAAGTTATATCCCGAACTCTCGCTAACAAACGATTGGCTAGCTCTACTCCACCTGTTCACTCATATTTATACTTTCAGAGGGGGACAAGCTGCGGAGATGACGGAAGGGACGGTGGTAGGGGCGATGGCCCAGTAACCATGTAAATGGTCACTCCTGATCGGTACGCATTTTTGCTGGGACGTTCTGGTTGGTTCGCACCGTCACTAGGTAGTTATGATTGGTCCATGTTGTTGACAGGTATGCTACCAGTGGGATGTCTAGTCCATTTCTGACATTTTTAGTAGTACTGACATGTATACCTTCTCATTTTCTGTTGAACATGTTGGGATGCTAATAGAAATAGATCTCAATGACCTTTCTTTGAAATCGGGCGTGGTAATGCGATGAATTGGACAGGACAGCAGTTTCTTTGTATTTCATCACGTGATCTGTTTCTACTATAATAGAACATATTCTTCAATTGCAGTTGCATGAGGTGGCAGCTATGCTTGTGTATACTGTTGTTGATACTTTTGAAAGTGAACCGAGCGACAGAAACAGAAAATCCTATTAACACCTGCGAATGTCAGAGGCTCTCTTTAGTTCTTGGCTGATCTGATAGTGTTGCCTACTTGATTAGTTGGCTTGTAAATGGTCTTAATGTTGTAACTTTTAAACAGTTTTCCGATTGGTAATTGACTTTGTTTATGTGAGGCAAATAACTGTGCCAACCACTGGCGACTGTATTATGGTCAAAGTTGAAGTATTTCGTCTTCTAGAATGAAGAGCATGTTTGATATCTTGCACTGTAAAACCATTTACCTGTAGATCTTGGTTCAGATGACGAATATCTCCATCAAGAAGATGTGGTTCACAAATCTTGATGGCACGTGCAACAAGTGTTTTTGAAATTGCAAAATGTTCTTCGGAAGTAATTAAACTCCCTAATTCGAATGTGAATCAGTTTTGAAATATTAGAATTTTAAAATTTTCCATGATACGAATTATGGACAAAACGAGTTGATTGTCATTCTAATTGTATAGAAATAGTTGATTTTCTATTGCGAAAAATTAATGAATTGTTGAAAGTTTTTTTACAGGCATTAAAGAAATATGATTTACCATACCTAAAGGAACTAAAAACATCAAGATAATGTAATCTTTTTTTTTTAAGGAAACTCCTACAGGTGATAATGACATAAGGAAGATTTATGAGTTAACAGCAGTCGTTTGTTATATAAATGACCAAACTTCTATAGATAAGCGCAACCTAGTGTCATTAATAAAGGTACCTGAATTCTACTTCAAAGAAAAAGACAAGGAATCGCCTGAACATAGGTGGTACCTCTTCAATGATTTCTCTATCAGTCCTGTTTCTGCGCACGAAGCTGCTTGGTTCAGCTTGGATTGGAAAACTCCTTGTGTGTTATATTACTCATCGTCAGAAATTCTGAAGAGCAAAACTGAAATTCATCAACCATTGTCAAGGGTAAGAATCATAAAATATCAATAATATATATTGAAGATAGTAAATGTGTAATTTGCCAGAATGAAAAATTCTATTTTTTTCACTGACCTAGAAAGTCAAAAGTTTTTATTTCGTCTCAAGCCTCTTTTCGGGAATGTTGGTTGCAATATTCCCGGTTAGTAGGGTCATACATTACTGAACTTGACCGAACATTCTCAATCAACATCTCTTACATTTCGAAAAATTACTAGAAAAAAATACTTCCACGCGTCATAAGGCTTGTGGTATCAGATGGCAACATCCAACCGCTTCACCGCTCAATGTAAAAGAAACAGCCCCAATCACAGTGTTGCATTTTCATGTCACGTGCTCCGACGTCACGTCAGAGTAGTCTGTGTCTCCCTTTATATTCATACTATATTTAATAATTTACTAGACTAATGAAAAACTATTTGAATTGAATTTTACTCAAGGATGTCTTCAACGAAGATGCAAGTTTAGCTAGAAGTGGAGGGACACGAGGTATTACCTTCACCCCACTTCATGACAATGAGATACTGAAATCGGGAGATTTGGTTGCCATGGATGCAGAATTTGTTACTCTCAATCAAGAGGAAGCTGAACTCAGAAGTGATGGAAAAATGTCAACTATAAAACCTTCTCAAATGTCAGTTGCAAGAATTACCTGCATTCGAGGGTGAGTCTAAATTTTTTTTAAACATTTTACAATCATGTTTAAGATATTATGTTTAGTGTGTTCATTGGGGTTTCACTCCAGGGCACGCTATTACCTCACCAGGAATATTGCTCAGTCCGGTTACTCGGCCTGTATTTCCTGTCCATGGTTCCTGCAGGAAGGGAAGGTCGATTAATTCATCCTTGAAGTTTTTTCCAAGGACTTATGAAGCGGCTTTGGCATGTTGTAAGTTTGCCTGCAAACACTTGAAGATAATAAGTGTTGCCACAAACTTAAAAACTCCTCGATCCTAGGAGGGAGAAGATGGGGGGTCCTTAAGGACACTTCCACCCTCCTCTCCCGGGATCGAGGGATGTGTAGGCTCAGATGATGAGGTGAGGACACCTGCTGTCTTTGAGTTGCCTGCTGATTTTTTGGATCTCTTTGACGAGACGATTTTCGTCTTCGCTTTCAGAGAGCCACGTCCATCTTTTTTTCCCAGTTTACTCGACAAGACGTTGGCCGTCTTCGTCTCCTGAGAAACACCTGTTTTCCCGGCCTTGGGCTGGGTGTGAGCCGGTGGTTTACCTCTATGTTTGGGTGGAGGTTTGGTTGAACTCCTCCCCATAGGTGGATTTCCACTCGGCCCCGCCTTATTTACTCTAACGGGTGCACTAGTGTGACTCGTTTGAGTAGTTTCCTGCTGAGAAGGTGCCTGGGTTTTAGGGCGGAATGAGACCTGCCCAAAACCAAAATGTGGTCTGAAACCCGTCCTCGCCAGCACGGCCATGGATCCGTCGTCTACAGCGAAGGTCCATGTTTGACCAGGCCTGACTTTTTCTTGTGGAGGATCGTCCACTCCAAGGTTGACAGATCATGGTTCATTTTCCTCAATCTAGTGAGGACCTGAGACAGAGTCTGCGTACGCCACTCAAGAATTTGGTGCAAGGCGGTTTCATGAGGTACTCCGCTCTTTAGGAGACGACTCAGTCGTTTCCTGGCTGCACCACTACCTTTTTCCAGGTTCAGTTTTTGAATCAGGGTTTGGAGAGTTGAGAAGTTCTCGCTCCTGATCTAAACTTACAGGGAGGTCAATCACGGCAGAGGCCCGCATTACCGTGACAAGACGATGCTACGACGAGAGGGCGCCCGGTATCTCGAAGGTTCCGTTAGAGACAGCTGATAGGCCCAGTGTCATTCATCCTCTCGACACGGATACACACACCTTAGGATTAAGCCATCGTTGGGATGCCATCCAGTTAGGGAATAACAGAACCACATGTGATTCTATCATTCCCGTATCCAGCGGGGCTACGTGGAAGCAGGCATCCGATGGTCGGTTTGCTCAACCCCCACATCCTACGCCAAAGCACTTGCCGAAAACAGCATGTCCAGTGGTTCAGGCAGTGAAAGATCAACAAGGACAGCCAACCCGCCAGTTGTTATATATAGTAGTTATATACCTTATTTCGTCATCACTGTTGAGGTTGCAATTTTGAAGATACTGAAACCAAAGATATGTTTTTTGGAAACGTAAAAAATCAAGTTTTTCATTAGACAAACACCACAGGAGTAGATGAAGGAGTGAGTTGTGAATTTAAAAATTCTATATCTTCAAATTCTTTCATTGAATTATTTTAAAATTGTAATGGTGAATATGCATGGATTTTTTGATTTTTTTGCTCTTTCAATTATGACATGAGGAGGTGTGTTTTTATAAACCAAGTATTTATGGATTTTTCTTTCGCTTATAACAAGTATCACCGGTCAAAACAGTATTTTGTGTAACAAGAGCAAAGGTTAACTTCACACCTTGTGAGGAGTTTGCAATATTAGCCGTAGGCGAGTGTTGCCAACTGAACAAGTGCATAATTGGCTTCACGCATGAGTTCCAAAAACTGATACCTTTCAAGTTCTAAACATTTCAAACTCTTTGTCATATTTCTTACTCATCAATATCTTACAATCAAATAAATTTTTGAACCTTATACCCACCTGATGATTAACTTTCAATTTGATTCAATATCGTTTTTAAAATTTAATTGGTGCTATCGTTTTTTGTTGACACAGTTCTCATCATATGCTTTCGTTAGAGCAGATGATTTCCAACCACTTTATTGTTTGAGGGTTAACAAGGGTTAATAAATCTGCTCCAAACTTGACTAAAAAGAAATCGGATAACCGTCATAATGAGTACCTTCCTGTATATTCATCAGAATTTGGCAACTTGAGAAATTTGAAAATTTTTCCTAGAGCTTGTCTGATTTTATTAATTTTCACTGGCAGATTGGCAGTGTTTAACTCAGATGAATCCCAGACACATTGTTTGTGGACACTTACCTAGTACCAAAGATACCTGTAGGTGAGCTACTCAATTCAGTTCAGCTTGGATTCTGGTACTGGATAATTGAGAAGCATCTGCAAGACTTTTCTCTCTGAGTTAACTTGCATAAATGGATATTGGATGTAATTCATTCCCCATCGTGGTATTAGCCGGGGAAGTAGTTGTTTTTCGGCAGGTATTTACCAGATTCTACAATATACGACGTTGGGAGAGATTAAAGTTTTGAGCTTTCATTTCGCAATATTTATTTTAATGTATGTATGTATCTCTCCTCGAAACAGTCATAAAACTTATTTGATTTCCACCAGTGTTGTAATTACTACATCACTGTCACGTCAAACTTTAGACTTATGCACAGTCAACTACTTACTCCTAACCTGGGCATAAAAACACACAGGATCATATGGAAAGTATGCATGAAATGAATCACATAATAAATGCAGGGATTTCCCGCACTGCTACGTGAAGTTATACTATACATCTAAAACTTTTCGCACAGGGGAGTAGAAAAAAGTATTTTGAATAGAAATTGAAAAATCAATATACACTTGTTAGCTAGGACTAGGTTGACGACAGTTATCAATTTTTTGTGTTGCATCACATTTTGTCTCTTCCTACTATGGATTGCACATAAGATTCTTGGGGACTGTAAATATGAATCGACAACATTCTTTTAGGTTGTTTCAAAAGTTTTGGCCATTTTAATGTCGTGTGTCTTTCTACTGTGCCGTGAAATATACTGATCGATAGAGAATTCGGTACTCTATACATTTTTTTTCATTTTTTCCAAATTTTAATTTTTTGAATCTTTTCACTATATGATGTTTTCCTCTACAATTTCAATTTGAACCAAAGTGCTGCCGAAACAGCCCGAAAAATTAACCAGTCATTTCGCAATGATGGTGTTAATGAACGCACTGTTCAATGTTGATTCGCGAAATTACTTGCTGGAAATTTTAGCCTCGAAGATGAGCCCTGAAGGGGTCGACCTACAGGAATCCAGGACGAGGATTTGAGGACCCTGGTTGACCCATCGCAAACGGTGCGTGGGATGGTGTAAGAACCGGGCATAAGCTTACAGGCTGGTTTTTAATGGTTTAAAATGTATTGGAAAGGTCAAGAAGGTCGAAAAGTAGGTGCCCCACGATTTGAACGATAGACAGAAATTGCCGCGTTTTAATGTCTGTTGTTCTTTACTTTTGCGCAACCAAAAGGATCCTTCTTCTGGTCGGATCGTCTAGTGTGTTGAAAAATGGATCCTCTACGACAAGTTGGACACCGATGAGCCACCCAGACACTTCCCAAAAGCAAAAACCCACCAAAAAAATTCAATAGTCATTGTATGGTGGTCAGCGACTGGTGTGATTCACTATAACTTTCTGCAAATGAGCCAAAGCACCGCAGCAGAGTCCTATTGTGAGGAAATCTACGAAATGTACCGAAAATTGCATCAGCAGCAGCAGGCACCGCACCGCAAGTTTCACAAATCATCGTCCGGAAATTAAGCGAATTAAGCATCAAAGTTCTGCACCATCGAAGATTCTCCCAAGATCTCTTGCTAACCATCTTTTCGAGCACTTCAACAACTTTCTCACCGTAGAACCTTTACCAATCAGGACCACACAAAAACTGCTTTCGTCGACTTCATCGAATCCCGAGCACGCAATTTTTATGCTGACTGAATCAATCGACTTGTGTTACGTTGACAAAAGTGCACTGATTCAAATGACACTCATTTCTATTAAATTCAATGAATATTTACTAAAATATATTTTGAAGTAGACTCATAAAAACGGACTAAACTTTTGAAACAATACGAATGCCATCACATCCGCCATTCTCGCGTTTTGGGATCTTCAAATATTCATAAAAATTTCAGAACATGTTGAATTCAAAATTTTTAATTGAAACGCAAAATACCCAAAAATAAGGACTGATATCATGACTTTCATCAATTTTTTAGGTCACGATTTCTTTGCTATTTCGGTAGGGTTTGTTAAATGGAATGAATTGCTTTTTTGGAAATGCAACAAATTCATGATTCCAGATCGAAAAAAACCATCATGGTTTTTTTGATATTACCAAAAATCTGTCGATTTTGTCTTAACGTCTCCAAAAATTTACCTGCTGTCCAAGAACAACTGACTGACTGAACAACTGACTGAAAGTTACTTCTTTGCATGATCTACACATCCATGTATAGAGTTACTTATTTTCAAATTGATTACTTCCTTCCTTTCTTTGGAAGATTCCCTCATCCCTTTTTTTTGTACCAAGATGGAGTAGTAGAAAGCCAAAAACTTTCTTTCCAAAAAATTAATCACTCCTAAAAATATAACCCCTTCAATTCAAATTAACTTCCATGTTCACAGTTTTGCCTTATATTAATTTATTAAGTAATTTTGAAGTGTTCTCTATCCTAAAGGCAAATCTATTGAAAATGCCTCTATGAAAGTTTAATCGTTATTTAGATTTTACATGTTTCATTTCATTTCATATACATTTTAGGAGCGGACCATTGGAAGGGACGCCTTTTATAGATGATTATATTTCTACGCAAGAACAGGTTGTAGACTACTTGACCAAGTTTTCTGGAATAAAACCTGGTGACTTAGATGCTAACTTCAGTTCAAAGCATTTGACAACACTCAAGTCTACTTACACCAAATTGAGGTTTTTGCAGGAGAGTGGGGTTGTTTTTGTTGGTCATGGTCTCAAAAATGATTTTAGGTAGGAGTTCACTTCAACTGCAACAATTTCAAAACCACGTTTTAATTATGTTTTTCAGGGTAATTAATCTGGTAGTTAATGCTGAACAAGTGGTGGACACTGTCCAGTTGTTTCACTTGCCGCATCATCGTATGGTTTCACTCAGATTTTTGGCATGGCACTTTTTGGGTGAGGATTTTATTCGTTCATTTCATAAATACTATTCTTTCATTAATGTTGAACTAGCCACCCAAAGTACATTGGAAATATATATAGAGTGGACCAGTTAAAACGACACAAGACTGATTTGTCAAAGTTAGGGTTTATTTTAGAAGTGAAATTTTTCGCAAATAAGTTCAACATTTTATATTTTTTCAAATTTGATGTAGTAGATATTGAGAAAAATGTTAGTTGAGTTAAGAAAATTCGTTTTCATCCAATTCTGACTTTCTCGAAATGGAATTTTTATTGAAAAGTAATTCTTCCTGAATACATATTATCATCAAGAATGTGCCGTTAAAAATAACATTGTAAATTTATATTTTGAAAAGTATTTAAAAAAGTGTTTTCTGATTGCATACAGTAATGCAAAATTTTATTCAAAGCAGTGTTGGATATTGTGAAGCATTCATTGATCTGAATCATCTATAAATGCTGGTGAGTTTTATAAATTGTAGTTTTCAATGATCCCACAAAAAGATGAAATGAAAGTAAACCGTTTGACCTTGAAGGCCACTCCAGTGATCCTATTTGACTGATCCATCTACGAGAGAAGATTTCTTTCAAATACTGACGAACAGTAAATGTAAAGTGGGGAGACGTCCATCTTATTGGAATGTCAACTCATTCTCATTGTAACATGTCCAAGAATGTTTATCAATTCGAGATTCATCGTGTCTTGTAACAATAATTAATAATAATGTAACGAAAAATAATAATGCTGTAACAATAAATAAATAAATAATAATAATACATTTCTCCTATCAGATTTCCTGGTAGTAAAAAAGGATTTGCGAGTTAACTTAACACAAATACAATAAACTGTATTTTTTTAAGTGTCCTTATAGGATGAAACTGCAGTAACGTCAGTTCCAAATACAAGTGCTATAAAAACATAGGAAGTTTTAATTCGCATTTTTCATAATCCAATTTACATACTTTGCTAATCACCTCACACAATGATGTGTAAGTTCTAACAAGTTTATTTTCATTTTTAGGAATCAAAATTCAGTCTGAGACACACGATTCAGTAGAAGATGCCAGAGCAGCACTTCAGCTATATAAAAAGTACAAACAATTAGAAAAGCAGAATAAAGTAGGGGATGCTTTATCTGAGTTATATGAAACGGGTAAAGTACTTAACTGGAAAGTTCCAGAAGATTAGTTTCTCTGTTGAGAGGGTAGAAACTAGTTAATTGAAATTAGTAAAACTGATATTATTTTAGTAAAACTGAAGATGAAAAAGTTTCAGAACCGAAATGACCGATATATTTTTCCAATGGAGTCCGGTCATAATTTTTCATTTTGTGGTATTGAAGAATTACCAGTTGAAAATAAATATCTCGATTTATATGAATGTAGTCAAAAACCTGGTATATCAGATTTTGAACTTAACTGTTCACCAGTCTGAATTGCTCACTCCAACAAATTTTTATCAAATTTTTATCTTTATATCATGTTTCATCTGCATTTACATTTACACCCATTCCAACGTATTTTTTCCTCCTGTGTTGAATTAAAGTCACTAAATTATTTTTTTAACTTGAACTGTAATACATTTTTTATTGAAGTATTGTGTTTCATTTGAAATGATCAATATTGAAATGAAACAATTTAATGGAAATTACTTTATATTGAAATATTGAGTTTTGAGTTGAGGTTAATTAATGACGATGAAAAGCAGGTTGAAAGAAAAAATAAACCATATCTTGCTGGCTTTAGAAAAGATAGGGGGGTAGTAGGCCTAATATTTGTCCTTGAGATACAAGTCAAAAGCTATCAAAATCGGGTAGAGACACATGAGAACGAAGGGCAAATCAAGAACAGAAATATCTACAGTAAGAGCCGGCTAGCATAGGAGTCGTAAAGGTACAAAGACTACACTGGGTTGAACTCGTAATGAGGATGTCAGCAGAAAATTATATAGTAAAATTGGTGGAAAAAAGAAAAGGGGAAAACCGAGAAACAGATGCAGGGAGGAAGTTGAGGATAGTATCATGAAACTAAATAGTGCCAACTGAAAACAGAGGGCGACAAGAAATGATGAAAAAAATTGAACTTACCACGTTCGTGGTAAGTGGTAAATACATAGAAAGTTTTATTTCTCAAGTTTTCATGATGATCTCCTACCACGTGGTAAAGCAGAACCCATGTATATTCACTGTATGGATACAGTCCAGTCTAGACCTTTATCCGGTTGCTCCAATACTGGAGAGCTCAGCCTCATTATCCAAAATAACACTTTCCATATTCGTGTAAGAGATCATTGTGTCCAAGAGTTATTTACCCTGATAGGTCTCTTCATAACGAGTAAGACTGCCATTATAAGAGAAGTAACTGGTAAGAACTTCTATGAGTATTTTATCATTGCAAAAACATTTTTCAACTCTTGAAAGCCATCAATTCTCATCATGAGGCTTGAAAAAAATTGGATTCAAAATGCTACTCATACAAGATCATTTCAGTGCTATTAGAATGTCATTTGATAACAAGACAAACTCAAAAACAACATGTACAACTTAAGGACTTAAATCATAGGTTTGACACAGTTAACTCAATATAAACTCTCAAAACTCAAAAAAGTTGTGAATAGTTTTTTTGTTCATATTATATAAACACATCCTGAAAAATCCTGTGAAACAACGTTCCACAACGTGGTATGCAATCAGGGAAACTCCAGAAAGCAATGAAAACATTTGCACAGGATAATATATAGATATAATAAATATATAGGTATATATATAATTTCGTTCTCATCTAGAGTACCCGAATTTTACAAAATATGAAGTTTCAATAAGAAATTGAAAAATATCAATTAGGTAATTTTCAGGTCCCTGAAATGGTAGTCACAAAAATATAATGAGTTGTGTAGCTTTTCCTTTACAGGCTCTTCATTCTTCTGTCATAATCCCTTTTTAGTGTCTGTTTACCAGTCTCGAGCGATGTCTTCGTTCAGGAGAGCTTTCAACGGAAATACTTCCATAATCTATAGAAGTTTTACGGCTATTGATCACGATAGATTGCCTCCTGCTGTCATAAACAATATACTGTCGTCTAGTATCACCTACCGAAGTTTGTCTAATCATGGATGGCCTACGACTATCGTTCATTATTCCATAACTGTCAAAAGGAGAGGTCGTTGTTCCTACCGGAAAAGAACAACGTCGTTGTAGTGGAGGGGGTCTGGAACCTGAAAAATGTTTTTTCAGTAAGTGATGATGGTTATTTTGTGAAAATTATTTTTCCTAAAATTTTAATTAATTTTAAACAGGGGAATGTCCACTCAGTACCACACATCAAAATTATCATCAGTCAGATATATTCCTACATGAGTTGTAAAAATCTGGAAATAAATAAGGGAAGGGAAATATCAGAAATGTTCGAAAAGTAATAAAAACGGTCTACAAAAAGTGTTTATTCTTTTTTCAAGATCTGACTCAATCCTCAAACGCCTTGTATACAATTATAGGTGTAAGTCACGTGTAGGAGTTGTTTCAATGTTATTTTCTATATTTTCTTCCATTTTTTTCTACTTTGTGTGGTTTATTGTAGTCACCCCCAATCACATTTCTTTTTACCTTGGCACCTCACATCTTCCAACCATTTTTTTTGGTCGACCTCTTGGCCTTTTTCTTACTGTTTTTGCTTTGAAAATCTATATATCTTATCTTTTACACGGTCCAAATTAGTCGTGTTTTCGTATCTGGATTTTATTCCTAGATTCCGTTTATATGTCATAATTCTTATTCTATTCATTTTAGTTTTATTTAACATCTTTCTATAATTTTCATTTCTGTTTCGATTTCCTCGTTTGTACACTGTACTTTCATACATCATTCGGAGTCTCCTAGAAGTAATGAGGGTGCGGAAACATTAGGGCTGTTTGAAAAGCAATGAAACAGTAACAAAAATGTGTTCATTTAGTTTTCAAAATCTCACGTTGTCCTTGAGTTAGTTGTTATTCATTCAGTCTGTTTTGTCAAATAACCATGGACGGATATAACATTCAAAACGCAACCAATAAAATTTTTTTTTTTATCAAAATTGGTATTCTATTTGGGCAACGTGTCGCACGATTCTCCCATTCTTCGGTCGCCATAATCGTCCTAGCGAGATGAATATTCGGCAATTTGGTGGAGATAAATTTTAGTCCGCTGGTTCAGTTAACGATTGACCAACACCCGTACGTCGGTGAAACGCAAGATCTGCCGAAAACATCGCCGCTGTCTGTGAGAGTATGCAGGAGAATTCTAGGCAGTCGATTTCGCGTCGCTCACAAAAGCTCGGCCTTTCGCAGGCCACAACTTGGCAACTTTTACTTCGTGACTTGGGCCTGCATCCATACAAAATTCAACTGAGCTAGGAACTGAAGGTGAATGACCACAGACAATGACGTGTGTTCGCTGAATGGGCTCTGGAGCAGTTGGCCACTGCCCTAACTTTCATCTAAAAGTCGTCTTCAGTGGGTACGTGAACAAACAAAATTGTCGATTAGAGACTATACTAATACAATACAAGAGCGTCCAATGCCAACATAATCCATGCCATCGGTCAAGCGCTTAATGAAAGATGATACATCATTGTCGTTATCAGATCCCATACAGCATATCAAATAATTAATTATTAATTACCGACATTTTTATTCCCTTATGTCAAACAATGAATGCGTGGACTGGCGATCACTTTGAAAATCTGATGAAGCTTTCCAAAATCATGTTTTTGAGATATCTTTAGATTGAGTAGAAAATTTTTTGTTTCGAGAAATTTGAATGTACGCAAAAATGTATCAATATCAAAGGAAAATTTTTGAAAGCGAATGTAACTGTAAAATTTTTTTTCTACTTTTTGTAAAAATCTGAACCATTGGATTACTGTTAGTTCGAGCATAATTCAGTGCATCAAGTTTGGATAATACTGCTATTAAGAGTGAAAATTACGGATGCCGATAGTTTATATCTGTGGTTGAGACTTTCATTTATTGAGACAATTTGGAAACTGTTCTTCAACACGAAACATAAGTCACTTGAGCGCGGTAAAAGACCGCATAGCAACAAGCAACACCCTCACATCGAGTGGTCGCCAGAAGTAGTGCTTAGCAAAATTGAACTCTATCGCCCCTTGACTGCCGATACGTTCAGAGGAGTTGTCAGCGACAACTTCTACGAATTGCCGGTGTTGAAGTTGGATAGGCGGTGGGCGTCATCTGCGACGGCAACGGAAGGATTTCTAACAACGTGAACTTCGAGGTCCACGTGGTGAAGAGCAGTGGGTACATTGGTTTGTTTATTGGAAGAACGAGAGTGAGTCTATGCATGTACCTCTATACCTATTAAGGCTGTTTTTTTGACTGTGTATATAGATTGGCAATTGTTCTATTTTCAATATTTATTTCATATTTTGTGCTATTTAACTACCTACAAAAATAAAAATACGATGGCAGAGGATATGAAAACACTAAACAGAAAAAGGGGTGTAGTGAAAGCTCGCCTAACACTTTTCAAGAAATTTGTAGATGTGTATTTGGATAAAAAAAATAATGGTCAGCTCATTGAAAAAATATCTTTGATAGAATTAGAATCAAGGATGCAGTCACATAACGCATTATTATCAGATTTTAATGAAGTTCAAACAACAATAGAAATGTTGGTAGACGAAAATGACTTGGAGAATCAATTGAAAATCAGGAAAGAATTTGATGATACTTATCATAAAGTTATAGCCATTTGCAAGGAAGTTTTGGATGGGTTCAATGTAAATATTAATGACAATTTCGATGATAATATGTCACAAAGAGCATCTGTTTTGTCCATACACAGTTTGAGAGCCCCTAACGCTATAATGTCACAACCTAAACTTCCACCTATTCCTATTCCCAAATTTAGTGGAGTTGTAGATACTTGGTTGGAATTTAGAGACACATTCAAGTCATTGATTCATGAGAATGACTCTATAGGCAACATTGAAAAATTCCATTTTCTTCGAGGCGCTTTAGATGGTGACGCCAGGCAAATAATACAATCACTGGAATTCTCTGCCATAAATTATCAAATTGCATGGAATTTACTTTGTGATAGGTATAACAATGAATCGTTATTAGTCAATAATCACCTAAAATCATTATTTGCATTACCGTCATTGGTGAGAGAGTCGTCAAGCGAATTACGGAAACTCATGGATGCAATGACAAAACATTTGAGGTCACTGGAGTCTCTGGGTTTGAAAATTGATTCTTGGGACATAATTATAATATTTCTTATTTGTGGGAAGTTAGATTCAAACACACTACGTCAGTGGGAAGAAGAGCGGCCTCGCGACAAATTAGCAACATTGAGTGAATTCAAAGAATTTCTGAAATCAAGGGCCGAACTCTTAGAAACATTAGAAAACAGTCATGTTGATAAAAAATCTAATCATGGTAGATTCAAATCTGATTTTAAACCCAGTAAAACTTTGGCTTTAGTGTCAAATATAGTTTGTACTTGTTGTAATGGTAACCACTCAATTGGTAATTGCGAAAAATTTGGAAAAATGAGTGTGCGTTCAAGATATGAATATGCTAAACGTTCAAAA